ACCCACTTTCGTTGACGGAAGGGCGGCTGAGTTAGTTTATTCACATTCATCGGATATTTATTACACACATACATACATATGCGTTATACTCATTAATACATTTCTTGAATCGATGATGTGACTTAGTGTACGTATGCGTTTATTCAGTCAAATCTGCTACAACGATTAAAAATCTCTCTTTTTGCATACATTTTCTCTTCGCGCCACATCCTCTTGATTCCAAGTCAATCATTATCAATTTCCAGGTAAAAATTCCTCTGTCTCCGTTTCGAAATTGATTCGGTCACTGAAATTCCGGCGAAAGACTTGAACTTTCCGGTCTAAATCACTCTGATCTCTGTTTATTCGTTCTGGGTATTTCACGGTGTGTGTAGTCTTCCGAAGAAGAAGAAGAAACTCGATCAGGGTTTTGTTGCTTTTTCGTGAATTGGGTTTTTTCGCTGATCCGTCTGAAGTTGCGGCTGTGACTTCATTTGATTTGATTAAAGATTTCGTTAGGGTTTAAGGAAGTGGATTGTGAATTGATTGTTTGTGTAAGTTTATGTGTTTTAGACTCATGTTTTAGAGCTTACGATGGGTTGCGTAAGTTCTAGGCATAGGCCTTTTAGAAGAAAATCAACACTGAAAGAGTCATCTGAGAAACGTTCCTCTCGGATCGATTCGTCGAGGATAGATGATTGGATCCAACCAGAAGGTGGGTTTGGTAGATCAAGTCGCAGGGGAGATAGGTTGATTGAATCTGAAATGTTTAGTTCCAATAGGTTTTATGATCATCAGATTGGGAAGATACTGGAGAATCCTGAGATTGTTGATCATATGGATCATGAAGTTGTTTATGATCAGGAATTGAGAAGGGCCTCGAGCGTTGTTGTAAAACCGGATTTGGAGATTGATCCTAAGAGTTTCAAACCTAAGCTAGATAGATGGAATAGCAGAGATTCCAACAAAGTTGGGTTGATTGAATCCGAAAAGTTGAGTTCCAGAAGGTTTATTGAGAAGGAACCTGAGATGCATGGAATTGAAGCTCCGGTTCCTCGGGAATTGAAGAAGAATCCGAGTGTTGTTGCTCCACAGGACAAAGAGTTGAAGCTAGTATCAGCAGGATGGCCGACTTGGCTAGTCTCGGTTGCTGGTGAAGCACTGGTGGATTGGGCTCCTCGTCGAGCAAGTACTTTTGAAAAACTGGAGAAAGTAAGTTTCTTTTGTTAACCTTTCTTCTTTGGTCTAGATCATGTTTTTGTTTAGTAGAACCTGTTTTTTAATGGATGCAGATTGGCCAAGGAACATATAGCAGCGTCTACAGAGCTCTTGATCTTATTCATAACAAGATTGTTGCGCTTAAAAAAGTTCGGTTTGATCTTAACGATATAGAAAGTGTCAAGTTTATGGCGAGAGAGATCATAGTAATGCGACGGCTTGATCATCCCAATGTCCTGAAACTGGAAGGATTGATCACTGCACCTGTTTCATCATCCCTCTACTTAGTTTTCGAATACATGGATCATGATCTCCTAGGACTTTCTTCGCTACCTGGCGTCAAGTTTTCTGAGCCTCAGGTACTGCGCATAAATGCTTTGCTACCGTAATCTAGAAAGTGTAGATTTGTTTCCGCTTCAAAATCGGTTTCTTGTATGTTTCTGTTGTTTAGGTTAAATGTTACATGCAACAACTTCTAAGTGGGCTTGAACATTGTCACAGCCGTGGTGTTCTTCATCGGGATATAAAGGGCTCAAATCTACTGATTGATAGTAATGGAGTCTTGAAGATAGCAGATTTTGGGTTAGCCACATTTTTTGATCCTGCAAAGACTGTGCCGTTGACTAGCCATGTTGTCACTCTTTGGTACCGACCACCAGAACTTTTGCTTGGAGCCACTCATTACGGTGTTGGGGTCGATCTATGGAGCACAGGTTGTATCTTAGGTGAATTATATGCCGGTAAACCGATCCTACCTGGAAAAACCGAGGTATGCACATTCTTATAGATTTCATTTCCTCCAAATTTGGGTTTCTTCTTGTTTGTTTTCACTCAAACGTAGCAGTTCATCTTTCTAGGTAGAACAATTGCATAAAATCTTCAGGTTATGCGGTTCACCAACAGAAAATTACTGGAGAAAATATAAGTTACCGTCTTCAGCTGGATTTAAAACCGCGATTCCTTATAGACGAAAAGTATCGGAGATGTTTAAGGACTTTCCCGCGAGTGTTCTTTCGCTTTTAGAGACTTTACTCTCCATAGATCCTGATCACCGGAGCTCTGCCGATAATGCCCTTGAGAGTGAGGTAACTGGTTCTTAATGTTTTACACTGTTCTTGGTTTCTTGTGATCATTGAAGCATTGTTAGTGACAACACTCTGTCTTTTTTGTCAGTACTTCAAAACCAAGCCGTTTGCTTGCGATCCATCTTATCTACCAAAATATCCTCCTAGTAAAGAGATTGATGCTAAAATGCGCGATGACGCGAAAAGGCTCCGACCCGTGAGGGTGGAGAAACAAGAAAGGCAAGACTCTCGGCCGAGAAGATCACACGAGCGAAAATTTGTCCCACCGATCAATACAAATCACTCTCTATCAATGACAATGGAGGTAAGTAACTCTAAAAGGTTCCTAACTTTTAAGGTCACTATGACCATGTCGGAGTGTATCTGTAAATCAAATCACTCTTGTGGCAAATGCAGAAACCATACCTTGATTTGAAGAGCAGAAACGATAGTTTCAAGTCGTTTAAGGAGGAGAGGATTTCTCATGGACAAGTCCCTGATTATCGAAATGTGCACTCCAGAAACATTCAAACTGGTGGGAGAGTTTCACACTCAGGTCCATTGATGAGCAACCGGAATATGGTTAAATCAACAATGTATGTGAAGGAGAATGCACCTCCTCCTAGATACCTTCAACCTAGAGTAAATCAAAAGATGTTATCGGGCTCGGTCTCCTCCAAAACATTATTAGATCGACAAGATCAACCGGTAATGAATCATCGAAGAAGGGATCGACGAGCATATAACAGAGCTGATACTATGGATAGTAGACTTGTGACAACACCAATTGACCCATCTTGGGTTAGTTACTGATACTCTGCTCTGTTTTTCTCATTTTGCATCAGTTGGGTTTCTTATTTGCATTGTTGTGTTATTCTCTGTGTACAGTATAATCCTAGTGATAGCAAGATTTACATGTCGGGACGATTGTTGGCTCAGCCAAGCAAAGTGGATCAGATGCTTGAAGAACATGATAGACAGCTTCAAGAGCTTACTAGACAAGCACAGAAGAAACGAGAGAAGGCAAAACTGGCAAATGATAGAGCAAATCACTGAAACCAACACTAAGCTTTGTCTACAAAACTACAGTGGAGGAGGAGAAGAGTTTGAGTCAGATTTGTCTGATCGGACCTGTTGATAGGTCCTTACAGTTCATAGTTCATAGTTCAATACATATTTGTCTGAAAGGATCCGTTTATGGTCCTTATGGCTTAAGCGGCGATTGTTTGATTAGAGGATTGTGTTTATAGGTATCATTATAGAGTTTGAGCTATGTATATACTGCTGAAAAATCTGTACTTTCACATATATATATATACAAATTTGATTGTACTTTAGGTATCTAGTGATATGATATTATCATTGGCCGAAAATCATTATCTCATTGCACTTGAATTACTTATAAATTCTCTTTAATAAATTTCAGATTATTATCCAATTCTCAGTAACTTGATTGATTGTTGTTTAAGTTTCTGGTGATTTAATATTTAGATTTGGCA